GGGGAGCCGCGAAGCCGCAGGCAGCGGGTACGACCGGGGCTGGGAGAGCTGCGAGGGCCGGAGCCCAGCGGGAGCCCCCGCTCTGCCCCCTGCCGCCGCGGGGAGCGGGCCTCGGCGATGTAAAGCAACCACAGGGGCTTTTCCTTGTTGCTGGTGATTGAATGTGCAGCCGCTTCTCGGAGTGTCTTGGCAGACCCTTCGGGCAGGGTGGGAAGTGTGTGAGTCCCTCTCGGGCTGCCGCGCTTTTCGGGAGAGGGCCGGCGGAGGGCCCTGGGCAGGGCGAGTGCACCCCTGGGTGTGCCGGGTTTGGTGAGCAAGAGACCGTGGGGCTGCCCCACTCACTTGTGGTGAAAAAACTGCGCTGGGTGGTTGCCTTAGGGACACAGATGGAGACTGGTGTCAGAAATGGGTGACAGATCAGAAGCCTGAAGCTGCTGCTGTGGGGAGTCCTGCAAGGGTAATGGGGTAAAGCCTTGCCGTGGGGAGTCCTGTGCTTGGGCACAGTGATCGTCTCCTGTTGCTGCTCCTTCACAGCAAGGCCCATGCCAGTTGTGGGCCTCCGCTTTCCTGGAGATTGCCATACCCCTGGCTGCGCTATGCACTTGTTGAGGGGCTGGTCTTCTACTGCTGGGTCGCTTGTTCTGCTTTTTTGTGCATGTGTGTTTGCTTATTATGAGAGTAATTGCGCAGGTTTAGGACGCAGCCGCATGAGCTGACCCACGTGCTATGTCGCACAGCCCTCTCTGGCCCTCACCCTCACTTGGTGCTTGTTCAGCAGAGACCAAGCGTGAGCAGGTTCAGAGAGCTCAGCTGATGAAGTCTCATGAGCATGATTAAGGTTTGGGGGATGGACCATCAATGGCAGCATCAGCCATTAGTGAATGGTCAGAGCCTTGGTGCGAGGTGGGAGCAGGAACAGGAGTGTGGCAGCAGCTGAAATGAGGTAGGGTTGTCCCAGATCCTGGCACGCCAAAAGTTGGGCTAGCACAGATGAGAGGCAGTAATGCGAACAGGAGATTGGGAAGCCCTTAGCGCAATCTGCTGCCCGGGGAATGGGAGCCACAGCAGATGGGGAATGCAGAAGGATAGTTTGTCATCTTTGCTTTCAAGTCTCCACTGTGGCAGCGTGCATTTGTGTGACCGAAGAGGTGTCCAAGTGTGATGGTGTGTGGTGCAGGGAGTCCCTTTGGGTTCATCCAAGGCTGCAGCTGAGGTCCTGGCGGTGGGGAAGGAGAGACCAGGATGAGACTCAGGAGGAGTGGGACTTGAGAGGATGCTTTGGCAGTACCCAGAGAGGAAGTCCATAGCTTTAAAATAGCTTCTCATGGCAATAAAATTATGCATGTTCTTCCATGTTTATTAACTGTAGAGAGCTCTTTTAGTGTTGTTTCAGAATCTGCGTTGTTGCTCAGTCTGGCAGAGCATCGCTGCTGGAAACATTCGTGTCTATGGCTGGGCAGGACAGGGCAGTGGGGCAAAGAGGGCAATGCTGGCCCCCTTCCTGGCAGTGTGGTGCCACACTAGCCATCCCTGCGGAGCAGGGGGAGCTGCTGCCAGCTGGCAGGGGATGAGAAAGACTCAGGCAGCTCTAATTTACACTGAGGGCTGGAGCTGGGCAGGGACTGGGAGAGGCAGCCAGTTCCCAGCCAGCTTCCTTCTCTGCTCTTGCAGCTCAGTGATACAGGCAGCTCGGCCTCAGGTTTCCCTCTGGACTCCTTGCTGGAATGGAAAAAGGTCATCCATGGTGTCTTGATATTTCAAAATGCTCTTTCTAAAATTTTAAATAATTAAATATGAGCAGGAGCTGATATGGCCAGCTACAAAATACCCGTACACAAACACCTAGCTCTGAACTTCCTACTGAAATGCAGAATGAGTGGGAATGTGCTGCCATTAGGATTACAGGGTCAGGTCGCACCTCGAGTGAGGTCCTGTGATTGTATAAAACTGTTAGATTGCATTTTCTTTAGAGCTGTGCAGTACAGCATTTTGTTCTTGCTGCTGTTTGACCACATGAATGTTATTTTTATCCAGCAGAAGATTGCCTGGCTCAGTGCGATAATGACTGCAAAGCTTACTGCTGTGATGGGACTACTCCCTACTGCTGTTCCTATTATGCCTACATTGGGAATGTCCTTTCGTAAGTATATTTGTGCTTTAGAAAAAAGCTGATGTGCTGTGTTCATGGACTTGGTGTGAAATTGGGTTGTGGGGCAGCTGTGTTTTGGCCATAAACAGTGGTGGGGTTCGGGCTCTTGTAGTTTTAGTTTGGTTTGGGTTTTGGCTTGCTGGTAACAAACATCGGTATTCCTCTAAAGTCTCATGTTGCAGATATTTTTGAAGCATACCAGAAAGCTTGCTAAAATTGAGGGTTATGTCCTTAGCTTGTGGATGTAAGCTTATATAATTTGTGGATGTAAGCTTTAGAGGTGATGAGAACTTTGTTTCAAGCTCTTCGGTTGAAAAGGAATGTGAACAGAAATCTTGTAGGCTTTGTTGAAATGCTTTCTTACAGTATCTGAGTCAAACCACTATTCAGATAACTTGGATTTGAGATTCTTTTTGCTTTAAGTACTTTTTTTTTTCCTTTTTTTACTGACTTGTTTTTGTCAAATGGTATTTTGGTTTTTGGTGGAATTTATTGAATAGATTCTAGGTGAAGATGATCTGACTCTGCAATGCGAATAGTATGTTTCATGGTGCTTGAAAAAAACCCACAGCAGGTGAAATGGGATGGTTATGAATATTTTTTATCTAGAGAAAAACGAGGAGTAAACTGTTGATTAAAAGCGTAGGCTCCAGGGCAGCTGTTACCTCTACATTGGTGAGGAAGAAGGGAAGCTTGCATGCTAGTGGACCTCAGTAGGTTCTGGGCTTAATTGTAGTGGCAACCCGTAACTATTACATTTGTGTTGGAGGACAAACTCGGGCAAAACATAAAATGTTGTTCTTCAGGATAGGGCATCTTAGCTTCTGTTTCCTCAACCCCATTAGTAATTTCCTTAACATTTAGCATGCGTTCTGTGACATATTTTTGGTTTATATTCTTGACTAAAACCAGAAAAGAAAAAAGAAGTGTGTCATGCAGCCTGCTCAGTGCTTGGGGAGGAGTGAGTGGGAAGGTGGTAGTTACTTTTTCTGAAAAGGCTCTTCTGTTGCAGGTTTTGTTTTACCTGGGGAACAAGCCAGTGTTCCCTTCAGCATATTTTATAGCACTTTGAAGGAGTAGAAAGAGTGATGGTATTTTAATACAAATTGATCCACAGTTTTTAAAGCAGATCAGACACTTCCTGGGCTAAAGTAAATAAAATTATGATAGAGCACCAGAATCCTTCATTCTTCTGGAAAAAAAAGATGCATGTACTTAAGATTGATTACTGTTGGAGAATGACAAGTGATTTTTTTCCCTGCTCACCTAGGGAATATCTGCTTTGATTTTTTTCCTCATTCCAAACTTGCTTTCCCATTTACATGCATGGAAGGAGCTGCAGTTTTTGAATACCTTATTCCAGCTCACATGTGGTTAGGAATGATGGACACAGTAGCATAGGATATCACATTATAGGAAGGAGGTGTACATAGAGCAACAAAGTGAGTGGATTTTATGTCCTGCTTCTGCATGACCATCACTGGCATTTGTCTTTCTAATGCCAGAGCTCTGCTTTGGAAAGGATCCAGGGGATTCTTTAGAGCGACCACTGAAATGTTCAGACCATGCCTTCAGTGCCAGGTTGACACCCAGCCTTTTGTGTGTTTATTTAACAAATGTAAACAGCTATGGAAGTAGAGCTGAGCGCGAGGCGCTCTGACACATTGGAAGGGTTTCTGTGTATCCGGATGTTTCTGAATACTGGAGGGGCCTTTACAAGTGCTGTTTGCCACAAGTCTCGAAGGAGGCATTCAATTCCTCTGATTTTTTATGGTTAAGTGCTCCACTTCATAGACTCAAGGACCAGTCAGGAGTCATTATGGTGCTCTGACCTGACATTTTGCGTGATTGAGCCATAGATTTATTTTTTTATCCCCTAAAAGCTGTTTTGAGCATGTTTTCTTTAAACATGTGTAATCTCATTTCGAAAACTTCAGTCACTAATGGGTTGACCATCTGTCCTGGTAAACCATCCTGTGGTTCATTTACGAACATTGCTGGGAAAATTTGCTGGGAAACAAAGGTTGAAAATCCTACTGTCAGCTCTTAACTTATCTGTGAGTTTGAAATGTGGTCCTAAATAGTCATCACGACAGCGCTCAACCTTATCGCTGAGCTGGGTGAACTCTGTCAGCCTCACATGTAAGACTTGCTTTGTTTTGCTTTGCCTTACCCAGGGGTCAATTTTTTGGCCTTCCTTTGAGCTCCCTCTAATATTTTCACTTCCTTCTTGAAGTGTGGCTAGCAGGGCTAAGCAGAGGGTTTTGACAGAAGCCTTGCTAGGATTATTTTTTCCTGTGTCTTTCTTTGAGTACCTATTTTGAAGCAGCTCTCTGTGATGACCACAGAAGGCATAAATGAAGTTAGCAATTTGTTACAGCTCTAAGTCCTTAAGTCACGGTCTTCAAAGCATGTCTACTGCTTTAAGCCTGCAAACCGTTCTTTGCTAGGGTTACTACCTTGCATTTGGTTGTATTGCAAAAGATGTTATTGTGACTTTAACTATGGTCCATAAGAATAACTTTCCTTTTTCATTATTTGGCACTGTATTGGTCTCTTTCTTTTTTAATGTGCAAGCTTTTCCTGCAGAGTTCCATGTTGCCTCACCCCCAAAGGACAAGCCGATTAAATTGCTTTAGATGGAGACATGATCCCTGGAATTTGGAAATGGCCATTAGCCTATCTGCTTATGTCTTTCTCTTAACAACTGTGTATTGAAATCTTTAACAGAACCATTTTTAACCCAACAAACTATGTCTCCTGATAATTCCATGTAATGCTGTTCTTTAAATATCCTTCCTTCACTGTGCCATCGTTTTTGATCCTGCTGTGTGGGTGCTTTCAGAAGTGCCTTTTTACTGTCCTAAACACCATTAGTAGTCCTACGTGTTGTATTGGCTCCTCTGCTTCTTTAGAGGTTGCCTGTGCTGCTTCGTTTGTTTGCCACTAATTTCTCTGCTCTCTCCATCCTTTATAAATCTGCATGTCTTTCTGAAGTTCCTGCTCTCTGTCTTCTCTGGGATATATATATATATATATAATGTTTTTTTCCACAAGCGTAACTCTTTGTTGCAGTTTTGGAAAAGCCTTTTGACACACAGTAGGTTCTTTCTAAACAATTCTCTGTGTTGTTTCGCGCCTCTTACTCTTTTCTTTCTAGACCCATATGCCAGCAATTGTGCAAACAGACTATAAACACCAGGCAAAAATGTATATACTGATTTTAAAACAAAGTCAGCGTGACTAGATCATGAGCATTGATCCTGAAGTTGCTTGTAGCTTTTAGTTGATTAATTATCTCTCTACTCATTAAAATGAGATTCAACATTGAGATATTCCACGTAGGGTTTTAGAATTTTCTGTTTTAAGAAATCATCATCTTCTTAGGACGCTGGGGAATTGTTTTTCTTGAGTCAGATGAGGTTTTCAGCAAACATCCTCCGGGCTGTGTGCATCTGTGATTAGCCTGTTTTTCTTTCCACACATGAAGAACAGATGCAGAGTTACTGGCTCACTCTAGTATTAGGATTTCAGGGCCTGTAAGAGATGTTCCAGCAACTCCATCTTTAGTTGGACTACAGGTCTGATCTGTAAGCATTCAAGGTCTGTGATTGAGTCATCTTGTAATCCATGAGCATCTCTAATGTAAAGTAACCCATCCTTCCTCCTCTTCCCCCCCCATGATACCATTTCAGAGCAAGTTGTTACAGCATTAATATTCCAGCTATATTTTCCTTCCTACTAGTTTTCAATAGCTACAGCTTGTCATTATTTCCTCTGATGCATATGCATTTCCTCCTGTTTATTTGCTCAGCGTCTAGTGGTTGATAGTTAGGCCTTCTAAAAACTTCTTTTTTTCTTGGACAAATTACAAATTTATGTTTGGACATGTGCAGTGTAACAGAGCTGTGTCTGTGGGATGAAGGAAAAGGTGTAGGGATGCTTGAGTGCTCAGTGTGTTCCTCCCGCCCATCAGAAGAAGGCTTGGAGGCTCCCTTCCCAGCCTTCAGCATCATCCCAGCCCTTTGTGTCAATAATTCAAACTGCCCTTCTCCTCAGAAGCAAGTTTCTGAGCTATTGAATCGTTTGTGACTGACCTTTTCTCAGTTGCCCTGTGCTGCTCCTGCAGCTTGCTTTCAGGCTAGGCCTGTGAGGACTGCAGCGTCTCTTCTCCATGACAGATGCTCCAGGTTTGCCCACAACAGTGGTATCTCCCTCACTAACCACCCGGCAGCGTTTTGCCTTCTGGCACTCGGAGGAATTGGAGACATCTGGTTATTGCCTTCAGCTCCTCAGACTCCAAAGCTCCTCAGAGGTGACCGTCGATACAAAAGGGGTTTCTTCTGCAGAACCCAAATTTGTATATGTGAGTGTTTCTGACGGTACTCTTTGTGTTTGCTTATGTGCTTATGTGCTCCAAATTGTTTGTCCCTCATACTTATCCTGGTGGATTTTCTGTGGGGTAATTTCCAGTTCAGTCTTTCCCACCACACCATGCCTTGTGTTTGTGACCCAGAGGTAACTCTGGAGCCATGGGGAGCTCTCTGGGCAGAGTTGTCCATAACCGTGTGCTGTCAGGGACAGTTCGGGATGCTGCCTTTGCTCTTTGACATCACTTCACAGCCAGCAGCTGTGAGTTGATGTGAAATAATCCTAGATTCCAGGTAAATAATGGAGCAAAGAGGACAAATAGTCCAGCTGTTCTTTCAAATGGATACTTCTGGGTGGTTGAATATTCAGCAGAAATGAAGGGACTTGCACCCAGATTTGGCCCTCAGTATTTAAGAAAACACACTGATAAAATAGACAGCCCTGGTGACTGATCCGTATTTTCCTAGATAAGCCTTTAAGGGTAGTAAACTGGAATATTGGTTTAAGCAGAAGAAGAAAGTGAAGAATCGATGCTACACTACATTGCAAAATTTGTGAAGTTTTTTGGTAAATGTCTTCAGAATTACTCACTGTGAGGTAATTTGTATTTATTAAAACAA